CAGGTGTCCGGAGTTGACGGATTCTAAACGAAACACGGGTAAAAAAAAAATGGGTAAAGCGAAAAAATCATAGGAAGTAGAGTTTATGTACTGATATGAGCAAAAATAAATTACTTACATAATGAGATTAATTTTCTAAACCTTCATAGGTAAAAGCCTCAATGATCACGTCCGTCGCTAAATATCTCCGATCATAATCTGTAACCGGAAACAGTCCATGCCTTTGAAATATTGTTTCAGAACAACACAAGTACCTTCCTTCTTAACTGGTATCCACCGTCGGACAACACTGACAGTCTCTAGATATGCAGCAATGCACAGTCACAGAGGAAAAACGGCTTCGTTGATAAAAGTCATACGCAGTAAGATCTTAAACTGTTGCCAAAGGAGACCCGTATGTGAAAAGCCATCGTTGATAAAAGTATTTCCAGCACATGAACGAATTGTCCAATGGTCCCTTGTCAAATTGCAGCTGCCGGAGTTGGAGGTGCATGGGCGCATGCTGAACAAACTAATGTCTGTCATTTTGGATCATGTTCAACATAGATGCTTGTCTTTGACGTCTGTAGTACGCTTTGCAGAATAGGCGGGTAAAGGCCTGTTTGAAAGGTTTATAGGTTCCCACATATATGAATACGTTCCACAGGCTATTACTAAGCCATGAGAGAATTGCGAATCTGAACATATTCACGTTTTCAAGACCATATATTATCTCCAAGAGAATGGCCACTGCCGCTGGGATATAAGACATGCAGAATACAGCAGCACTAAGAAGAACCATTAGTGGAAATGTATTGATATTCGAGTTTGACACCGACTGTTCTCCTTGTTGAGCGATTCGGTTATGGGCGCGTCTGATATTTCTATATACCGGCACAGAAAAAACTACCACAGCACCAAACGGTATGAAAACAAAACAACCGGCTATATTCGTGACCAAAACAGATCTTTGATCGATAAATGGGAGCCAGATAATATCTTTGAAGGGGAACTTCGCTTCCGCGGATATCAATATCAACAGACGAGACATGTTGAGTATCAAAGAGAGAATAACTAATAGAAGATAATTTCGTTTAACGGCAATTCTTGGATACTTCATTGGAAACCGGATGGCAATGTAGCGATCTACTACAACCATACACATATTTAAGACGTTCTGACAGACTATGAACGCAATCATACACGCAACTACTGCGATATGGCTTTCCGGATATGGGAAATAGTCCAGAAATGCTGATGGTGTTGCAGTCAGAAGGAATAATCCACCCGTGGCGAAATCCCAGCTGGCCATGAATGCAATCATCCAGAGAGTTGGCAAATGTAGTTCCCTTGATTTGAAAATGACACCGACGACCACTCCATTTGACATCATGACCAAAACCGATATAATGAGGTATGACGCTCCAAAATATATGTTCTCTCCTGACAACGAGTCATTGCTAGAAGAATTTACGTTCATGGTTGAAGTTCAGATATCAAATGTTTTCATCAGAAACGCCGTTGTCGCAATGAAACCTGAGTCGTGTCCCGGCAGATATACCCATAGCCTAATGAGATCATATGGATAATTTGTATTACACTATCATAAGATCAGGTGTTGACAAGAACTGCTTGAATTTACACTGCTAGATAATGGATAACGACTGTGATTACAGACACCAAGACAGTGTGTGAAACGAGGGTATGACTGATCATGGTAGCTCACATGGTGATAACGAGACACATGTATAATATGTAATGCCCATTTAGGTGGCATCTTCGAAACATGTAGACTTCATCGAAACTGGCTTACAGAGAAAGTGGTGTGTATGTGTTTTGTGTTTTAGTAAGGTGTAATATGAACTTAACGAACATCTTTGAACATAAACTTTATCCTTTTATGGTCGTGATACATGAATGAAGACGAACCATATTTTCAAAAAGACACCTTAACCGCCATGTAGGTGAGTCGTTTTCAAAATAGGCCAAGATTTGATTCTCATTAAATTACAGAACGAAATAATTGAAAAATTATTTTTTTATTCTTGAAATGACATCATATGCTATTGCTCTTTCTAAATATTACAGAACTGACCTTTAATTCCAATTATTTTATATCAATGTTTCTTCGAATAACCAAATTTACATTTCTTTCCCGTAACAATGCCTAGATAATATAACATATTATAAAACATGATATTTCTAACAATATTGTATAACAGACATGAAGATCAGCTTAGATTTCAAGTATATCCACATAAATGTTTGACGTTGCATTGATTGTGTTTCGCATAGAACTATGCTTCCATTTTGGATTGTTTAGCAAAACGTCACCCAATATACTTTAGTACATCGAGGTTAAAGATATGCTTGTTACAGGAAAGACCAAAATCGTTACAATAGAAATACTGTACCTCTGTAATCTAACAAATGCTTTTAGTTGAATACACATACAATAGAATGTAATATGTATGTAATGATTAAAGCTACACGGGGTAAGATATTGTAAAACATTGAATATATTTAATAACAGTGACAGATCTATTCTTTCCCGTAATAATTATCATTCTTTAGTGTAACCGTTTGAGGAAAAAAAGTCACATATCAATCTGTTTTCACATAATAATTGTTCTTTGCTGTAACAAAAACGTTCTTTCCTGCAACAGGTTTTAGCTTTACAGGAAAGAATGTCACGGGAAAGAAAAAACATCAACACAAATTAAAAAGTTTTAAATGTTCCAACATTCATGCAATCGTAAAAACAAAATGTTGTGATATTGTACATATAAATGCTTAAGTAGTTTTACAGGAAAGATGGTCCAAATCAACTTCTTTAAAGTCAGTTCCTACAGATATCACAACGTAAAACATCTGGAACATGTGCAATCCAGGGAACATAGGAAATACCAAAGAGAATTCGTAGCAACAGAGATGTAAAACGAACAACATCCTGTGTGAGGGACAATGAAAACCGCTCATTTTTTGCCGTTTCAAGTACTGTAATAACAACATCTAAACACATATGTCCATCATTAAACATGGATATACAAAGATAATGCCTTAATTTCCTTCCGAAGCTGAAAAATTGCAATAGAATTTGACGAAATAGTTATATTATTAAGCAGGGACAAGAATTCGTGCATCTATTGAAAAGGACTCAGGTAATAGCGGAATCAACAGTAAATATTGCTCTGAAGCATGGTGTGACACATTAAAGGTTGACGTGACGTCATAGCGGAGAGTTGTACAGATACAAACTTTAGTGTTTGTGGATTACTAGCGTTTGCCAGACACCAGACAATGGCCCCGATCGAAAACGTTTAATGCTCGCTCAGTGGTAATACACATATTCGATCATATCAATATGAGGAGGTGGTAAGTTTAAATAGTCTCTGCAGCAGCAGTCTCTTTGAAACCAAAGGCTGAGGATCTACATGTATAAAGAGTATTTTAATGTGTTTTTGTAAAATATATGTAACGTTAGTGTTGGAGAGTATATGTAAGAGTATGTGAACTTCGCCAGTCGCCAGTCTCAGAGTCTAAAGAAACTGTTCAAACAGACGATTCTAAAATGGGCTGGATGGAGAGCCAGTTAACATATCAGACGTCCGTTGTTATAACCAAAGCACAAAGCAGCACGTCTAGCTTAATTTTAAGCTCGTCCATGGATCTTCAGAGAAGTGTCCTCCGGTCATCAGTTTATTTCTTGTGTTCATGATTGATGGCCAAGCTCGTGTTTGGCGCCGCACAAACACTGCATATGTATCAGACCAGACTAAGGTTTCCTTGCAACAAGATCGATGCTCATGATGTTGATCACTGGATTGCCTGATCCAAACTCCATTATTTACAGCTGGAATATTGCGGAGTTAAACAACAATCAATCTTGTTGACTAAGCAGCAAAAGAAACGTCAGTTTGGACATTTCCTTCGCAGAAACGGATAACTGTAAACCCATTTAATGTTTTGATTGTATATTTGTGACAACATCTCCAACTTTACCTGAGCAACGACATTCCTTCCCAAACTCAGAATGGAACCCAGGAAATGGTCTCAAAAACGCAACCTGACCTCGGAGATGGTACGGTGTTCTCCATGTTTTTCATGCACCTCATGCTGCACGTGCTGTTCGCAAGGACCAGCCCTATAAAATACACCCCCAAACCTGGTTGAAACATTCACATTACAACGTCAGCAAGATGCCGCGACTCACGACAGCTCAGAGGAACCAGGCGCTAGGAAGACTTGAAGCTGGCCACACTGCACAAGCCGTTGCCAATCACTTCCAGGACAACGTTCGGACCATCTACAGGCTGCAGCAAAGTTTCCGGGCCACAATGGATCGCCCCCGTACTGGCAGACCAAGAGTGACCACAAGACGACAAGACCGCCATGTTGTGCGACAGTATGTACAGAATCCCTTCATGCAGGCATCCGAAACAGCACGCCAGACAGTGGGAACACACGGAAGACCAATCAGTACTGATACAGTACGCCGACGTCTTAACAGCGGGAACCTCCATTGCCGTAGACCTTACCGTGGACCTATCCTCACCCCTCGTCATCGGCGTAAACGTCTACAGTTTGCCCTACAACACCAAAACTGGCGATACAAGCAATGGAGACTGAATTATGTCAAACCAAGGCCGAACACAGCCGATTTATTGCGCTAGGCCTATCTCAGATTGTGGTTCCAGGTGCCAATGGGCTTCATCAATCGATTGGTGCATTCCATGCATAGACGCTGTGCTGCAGTTATTGCCGCTCGTGGTGGTCACACTAGATACTGAAGTCAAGAGTCTGAATGGACTGCAAATGTTCACGTAATGTCTTGGAATTGAGGAATTCATTGATGTGTCAGGATATTGTACACAAAAAATGTTTTTGATCCGCTTGTTATGTCCATTTCTGTAATGATTTGATTACAGTGCCTATCTCATTTTGAATTCGTACTGACGTTTTTTTTGCTGCTGAGTATATTTGGCTTGTGATGACTATCTAGTGATGTGAGGACACCTTTGTGATAGTGCAAAGTTTATTTAAAACCATTTGGCAACAATGAAATACACAGTGTTCTAATAATCATTTGAGGCATTTACATAAATATGTTTGCTTTAGCATCGACACTGCAGAACACATACAGCAACAGTCGCTGAAAAGATGGTACTCCGTTGTCTCAAAAACACGTGTTGAAAACCAAAGCATCATATCATGCATCAGGGATACATACAATGTATATTACAGAAATAATTCGACTGTATGAGTGGATGAGTTGGCATGGCTTATCACAGCTTTCAAATAATAACATTTCACTGTGATCGTGGATTCGAGTTCGCTTTGATACCGTTTCTAGATTGACGGTAAAGTTTCTAAAACGTGACTTTGGACCTTTCCTCATATTACCCTGACACAGTGTTACTGCTGAAATACTGCTTTCTATCGGGATTAAACAATTATCATTCGCTCACAAATATCCACGGAATTATCGCCATAATGAATTATTCCAGCGAACGAATGTTAATATGGATATTTAATCTAAAAGCAAAACAGCTTGTGACACGAAACAAGACAATGCATGCAGTTACAGAATGCAATTAATATGGTTCCCTCTGGTAACCATAATGTTTGGTACATACCAAATCACATCATTTAGTTTAATAAAACAGCCTGAACTTCTCATGAAGTCAATATTACCCTGACACAGTGTTACTGCTGATATACTGCTTTCTTTCGGGGTTAAACAATTATCCTTCACTCACAAATATCAACGGAATTATTGCCATGATGAATTATTCCAGCGAACGAATGTTAATATGGATATTTAATCTAAAAGCAAAACAGCTTGTGACACAAAACAAGACAATGCATGCAGTTACAGAATGCAATTAATATGGTTCACTCTGGTAACCATTATGTTTGGTACATACCAAAACACATCATTTAGTTTAATAAAACAGCTTGAACTTCTCATGAAGTCATATCTGTACCAACGATTATTTCGTGATGTCTCGAGCTGATAATCATCATCATTGACACCTGGAGCTATATTTGAATATATATTATGGCAACACAGCAAGTAAACTGGAGGTCCCCGGATGAGAACAGAAAGGGAAGTTACTACTTGGTTGCCTCCCTTGTTAGACCGTGTGTGTGGCACTCGTCCCAGTCCGGCCAATATGTGTCCTTCATACGTTCACAATAGGCAGCCAGGTTTGGGTATTTGTCTGCAGGAAAAAGGTTACTTGAAATGTGTGAGAACATTCAGGAGGTTAAATTGACAACTTCAATTGAATAGAAAATGCCACATCTAAACATTCTTGGTCGTGGATTAATTTATGTAATGTAAAATAGAGGTATACATATGGTCCTTAATACATATTGATATGACCACATCAAGTTACATTTAGTCAGTGTTAACCCCAACTCGACTTACAATGACATTTATGTTAGAATCCTAAAGCTTGATGTGGTTTACTTAATCCATACAACACTTCTGTCAGCGGCGATGTTATGACCAAAAAGGTAGAACTGAACATGTTTGTCAACCGTATTCCACTTTATGCGATTGTTATGGTGGAATTGAAACAAAATACAATGATACATGCATTGCCAGAAATGCAGGAAGAAACGTTTAAACAGAGCATATTGCTATGAACTAAAGGGCACCCAAATCTACAGGTACTTGCCTTTTATGAGGGTTTCGTGTCGAGTGCCAAAGAATTGAAAGTAGAACAGTGACAGATGACCGAAGACCGCGCAGTCCTCCTCACATGGCTTGTCCCCCATCAGGAACTTCTTGGTCCCTGGAACAACCAGCATGCGTGGATAGATGGGTATATTGAAACCAAGAAAGGCAGAATATAAGGTCGAAAATACGTTGTGACATGTCTGAAAGCTGATTAATAATTCTTCCGATCAATGAAGCAAAGCTGCGTAAACTCGACGTGAAATGAAGAAATGCATATGGTTCAGTTAACTAGCGTTTTACTTCAGTATAAAGGCAAAAACTTATCACTGTTTTCTTTCCATATTATGTAACGTGATCCTGTTTCTAACTGAATATAGCAAATGATGGATTTGATCTGGATTAGTCGTAATAGCTATGGACATTAGTATTGAAGATTTGGTGCCCCAGATATTTGTGATTATGTTATCTTGTGACATTTTCATATAATGTCACTGGCCAAACAACTGTTGTCACATCCTTTTGTTGAATTAAACTGAAAAATTAGAATATATTTGTATTTTGTAAATTGTAATATCATTGCTTGTAAGTAAGCGTGGACTGAAATGGTGAACTGGTGAAAAGTACAACCATCTACAAATACACTGACATCGACGTTGAGGACGATCTCTTCGGTGTTGAGTCTTAAATGTTCATATATATATACAAGATGTCTGAACTGTAATCACAGAAAGATTGTCAGCACAATATGTGAAATTTCCACATGTTGAGTTGAAATATGTTGCTGACCACTACTTGTTAACATGAGGATTTTCAAGTGTTCAGGTGCAATTGATCGTAACCATAAGCCCATGACGTGTGGTGGCGCGTGGTCCTGTGCGCAGAGCTCAGGTCACGATTCAGTTGAAGTTCAGCAACGTCGAGCTCGAACAATCCTTGGATGGGTGACCTTGTTTGGCAGCCTGACTCCTGAGAGTTTCTAGGACTCCAGTCCTGCCCCACAACGAAGCACATGTGATACATGTGGTCTCACCTTAGGCAAGTGAGTTTGTTCAAATTGCCTCTGTTCACCCAGCAGAAAATGGGTACCCGGTTGGATAAAGTCATGTGACTATAACCTTCTAGCGCCTAACAGGCAGCTTGGGTTATCCGGGGTAATAAGAATAAGATTCTGATTAAGCGCCGCGAGCAATCACTTGGTGTTTGGAAACGTGCGCTATAGAAGATGACTTATTATTATTATGACAGCGCCACCCTTGGCTGACGGTGTCTCCCTGAACAGCAAGGGCTGGTCCTCCATTCTTCTGCAAGTAGTGTGTGAACACCAGTATGTTATCACTGACTGTAATGTAGGCTGGCCAGGTTAAGTCCACAGTGAAAGGGGTTTTTTTGGCTGCTCAGAACAAGGAGGGGCAAACAAATTGTTCCCAGACAAGCAAGTACCAATGTCAGTCGTGATTTTGGTTGATGTAGTGTATATATGTAGACAAATATGCATGGCGGGTGCAAATGGTGAACTTTGCGAGGGAAGCTGTTTTGTGTGCAAAGAAATAGTGATGCAGATGTCATAATCTTTGGAAAATAATTTTAAATATGTGCAGGCATGATCTTGTGCAGTTACAATTGCTTTGGTGATTTTCTAGTATCATGGATATACAAAGCTTTTCACCTGACCAAATTACTCTAAGGACATTTATACTTATAAGTAATTATACTTCTCTAGACCCCCTAAGGTGTATCAAATATATTTTTACTTATGTCGATTTACACCAGGAGAATATTTACTCACGTAAGTAAATGCGTTCACTCTCGGACCATACCAGAATACGTAGGGAGTTCTAACTTCTTACATGTTATCTCTAAACGCTTCATTGGGAAAGACTTCTCATTATCAAACACTCCCTAGGGAACATTTGTATGCACCTGAGTGAGTGAGTGAGTTAAAATTTATGGTGAAATCGGCAATATTTCAGCCATATCATGTCCAAAAACAAGTTATAATTTCATAATAAATAAAGTCAAATTATAAAACACTGTCACAGGGATAGTAAAACAACTAGACTATCACAGATTTCAATTTGAAACTAGTAATTAAATCTAAAAAGATATAACTACAGATGACAATACAATATAAAAAACAGGCTATAGATTGCCAACAACCTAAGGTAGATCACCATACAAAGGACCATGCGGACTGAAAGTACATTTGCTTCCTGCATGGACCAAATCTGATTTACACCATCCCTTTTTGGGGTCAGTAACTTTTGACAATCTAGACATAAAATAAAATAATATATATATGCTGCGATTAAAAATAGTAGTAAGTTTAAATTTACTTTAATTGTTTTGGGACTTAAGTACTTTTTCGGGAGGATAATAATTTTACAGTACTTTAACCCCTTCGATGATACAGCCAATAATAATAATAGTTTATTTAAACTACCAATCATAAAAGGTTTAACTATTTACACAACTTTTATCAAAATTTATCTAATAACTCTATTTCTTTTAAAAATGCAATAACTAAATGATGATTCAAACTAACAGATCCTTCAATGTTTTAACATTCAAATAATTATCCCTTGTGATGGAAAAATCAACACAGTCAAGCAGGACATAATGCACCTGAAATAGGCGTAAATGATATATATATAATATATTTATAATGCAAGCTAATTATACCAAACCATCTGCATACCTATGAAGTCTGACAGGGATTGTAGATCCTTCTTAAACATCTCGGTTACCTCCTCTTCTGTGTGTCGACCTAAACCTTGACTCCAGGTTTGTTGATTCAAGGATCGAGTAAGCATCCAAGTCGTAAATCTCCCTAATTTGGATGACTTCAGTATCAAAGATTTGTCGTTGTCAAATCGCCATCGGATGAGGATCAGAAACCTGAAACCATAGTGTTATTCGTGTTCTGTGATAGTCATTGTGAAAAAGTATAACAGACAAATGTAGTAGTAAATACGCTCAGACAACGTACTGATAGACGTACTGAGCGGTGAAATGAGGTTATGGGTATTAAAATCTCGGTAAATATATTTATATAAAAAAAACCCGTATATACACGTGTGCGTGTTTGCACGCGCGCGTCTGTGTGGTGGTATATTAGTCCTGTTTTGATACCTTTCATATAAACACCTTACTCAGACACTGTATAATGGTTTGTCGAAGTTGTTTAACGCCGCACTCAGCAACATTCCAGCTATATGGCGGCGGTCTGTATATCATCGAGGTTAGACCAGACAATCCAGTGATCAACAGGAGGAGCATCAATCTACACAATTGGGTTGACATGTGTCAACCAAGTCAGCGAGCCTGACCACCCGATCCCGTTAGTCGCCTTTTACGACAAGCACGTGTTACTGAAGACCAATTTTAACCCGGATCTTCCAGGGTCCACTATATACTGAGGCCGTACAGGCTGTCTTTGTGTTATTTGTTTTACTGCCGAGCACCATTCAAGATGTAGGGAAGCATTATAGTGTGATCTTCGTTCTTTTCTTACAACTACCAGATCCTAGTTTGAAATTGTAAGATGTTAAGTTGAAAGATAAAAATTCCATAGCTGAACATCAACCTTTTGTCATCAAAAGGCCGCCGAGCCATCATATGTATACCAAATCTCGAGTGTACCCTGGATGTTCGGCAAGTACGCTATCTGTACGCTATCTGGGCGTTTGTCAAAAGTTACACATAATGTGATGCCCGATCGCAGGACTATGATCGTCGTATATTTGCACCATTTCGTTTTAGCATAACTGTTGCTAGGGTCGTCAAATGTATGATGGCTTGCAAAGTGTTAGCTTCGTGGGCCTTGTGGTTTCATTTACAGAATAAGACTAAATGTTTTCTCACCAGAACGTGTGTTCGTCCACCATGACCTGCATCGCATGAGCTAATGCTTTGTCGGAAGGACTGAGATCCTTGTTGAAATCCACTCCAAACTTCTGGTTGACGTATTGAATACACAGCGATGTGTCCGCCACCTCCAGTCCATTGTATGTTAAAAAGGGAAGTTTGCCCTTTGATGAAAACGCCAAAGCATGGACATTCTGTGTGAAGGATTGCAGAGCAAGTTTGAAATATTCAGGTATGGAATATTTTGCATTAAGTAATTGACTACTTTTAGTACGTCAGACTTGGATAGTGAGGAAATTTGAAACATACGTCGAAAGTAACGCCAAGCTTGGATTCTATGGAAACCTAAAAGAAACGAATGAATACAGAGATGGCACAGATTGCAAGAGTATGAAACCATTCTTACAGATCATCTATCATAATCCGATATTTTAATATCCTTAAATACGTGAACATGTGTATAATTGTATAATTTTCATCTTAGTTCCTGGCACAAGAATGGCAATATTCAGACATGTTTGCTCTTTGACTTAAAAGCTATGTGGCCTCCAACATTTAACTACTGCCTTCGCAGATGGCACTTTGGTGTTTGTATGAGACAGTGCAATTGTCGCTCACTGCACCACCACATGCAATTTCTATTTGTGAAAGGGGACGAAAGACTGTCGACCAATTCTCTCTGTTCCTTAAGCGGACGATTAATTTAAAGTAATAACTATAGGAGAAAATGCATATCTTTTGAAAATGACACGAACAATATCCAGAATCGGTTTCAGAATACAACACAGAATACCAAGATGGGCATTGAGTTCTTACATTCCTTTATGGTGACAAATTATGATATATGTCGTGGAATAACTAGAATATTGCTAACAGCGACATGAAACAACCCGCACTGGCTCTCTCACCTACCTGGTAGGGTATCTTGGCCATCCGGAGATAGGTTTCCAGTTTTATAACGAATGGCGACAAGCTGGGGCCATAAACACCTCTACCGATCTGATGAAGCATCACTGTATCACGTGGATAATTCTTTGCCTTTGGTCCTCTGCACAATAACATAGTAGATCAATGCACTGCATTTGGTTGGATTTTCAATAACTTTTCAAATATCATTGATATAAACATTCATTTTTAACAAAATATATAGTAGATGAACAAAGTCAAATTGATTGGTAAACCAGATTCTATTAAGATGTTTATTGCGACGTCAACCGTACATATCTGTGTGATCTATGCAATAGACATCTGGCTACATTATTGCTCGCCAGGGGCAAAAACGCCCACATGTAGGTCAAGGCAAGTTCAGACACGGAGGTATATAAACACAGTTACCATAGCTTAAGAACATGATGCCTTAAACTTTGGCTGACACAAGCAATGATATCTATCTTTGATCGTTGCAAAGTCTGATGCGTACTTTTGAGCATTTGTTATAAAACAATTACTTGCTCATCACATACATCATGTATTTGTTTCTTTTTGTAAACTGTAGAATAAGCGATTAATTCCAGGGGAGTATTTTTTCTAGTAACTGCACACACAACCAGAAAATCAAACATTCATTCATAGTTAGTTCCTTTACTGAAAAGGCATTAATAATGACAGTAACAGCTAAAACTCCCTAAAACTGTACACAAACGGATGCTTATTCTACAGGTTTTCCCGAACAGAAAAAGCATTCATAACGTCACGACCTGTCGGAACTCCATGGCTTTTCATAGGCTTACGAATGTCGTACAAACATTTTGTGGATCGAGACCCTGGATAGCTTAGTGGGAGGTTCACTAGTTGCATTGCCATCTAAGCTCTGTTGCCAAGCCTTTCACACACGACAGCTTACCTGTTAAACAGTTTCCTGAGGGCGAAGACTGACAACACAGCCGCGACACCTCCGACAGCATATAACATTTTCTGTGATGTGTCCATGGCGTTTAATTCCTTCATGAAAGTCTCCATTGCTGGTGATCTGTTAGCTGAATGTGCAAGTCACTCTGCACTGCGCTGTCAGTTTGTGCAGGTAAATAACACACACCGCGATAACGGACAATTCTAGGTCAGGTTGAAAAGGGGAACAAGTGTTGAGTAAAGCGATACTGGATTTATCGGTTGACAACAACAAATCTAAATCAGTAGTATGGAATGTGCAGTCACAAAACTGGTAGCGGAGATTGGGAGATATATTGTGAGATTATTATTATTGATAACTTCCATACAGAAACGTCGTAAACCATATGCATACATGTAAATCCTCTAAATATATATAAGTACTCTGTCCACAATTAACATTGTCCCAGTTGTCAAGAGCTGGCAAAATGTGACGGAACGTTCATCGTTTCATTTTACAGCTTACCGAGGGTTGCATCTGATGTGCCAGTCACATATACCTGTTTGTCAAGACAGCTTTAACGCCATGACTAAGAGTCCCCCAAACAAAAAAGGAACCCCCAAAATATCGTTTTAATATGAAAAAAACCAAATGAGTTTCTATTACTTAACCGATGGGACCCGTGAAGATCCGGGTTAGAATTGGTCTTCAGTAACCCATGCGTGTCGTAATTTGCGACTAACGGAATCGGATGGTCATGCGTCATTTTATCCCAATAGCGAAGATTGATGCTCATGCTATTGATCATTGGAATATCTGGTCCAGACGCGATTACGTACAGACCGCCGCCATATACAGCTAGAATATTTCTGAGCACGGCCAAAACAAACAACCAGCCAACCAACTTGACCGCAGACTAGTCAGATCGGTTAGTGGTTAGTGATAACAGCCAGTACGTGTAAATACCACCCATGAAGATAACGGATAGTTCTAGGTCATGTTAAAAAAGGAATAAGTGTCCACGAAACAATACAGTAATCTTAGCACACATTCAGATTCAGTTGTTGGGAGTGTTCAGCGAGAAAGCTAGCATCTGTGATTTTGATGATGTGTTGAAGCTAGTGCCTTAAAGGGTCAGTATTGAGCTTTCTGTACCGAGATACCGAGCTTGTTAATTATTTTCCTGCAGCTTTATTCCAGGATGGGCATACATGTTCAGTTACAGAGTAGTTACCCACAACAATCTACTTATCAGGATACTGTAGACATATTAGGGTTTGGGTTGCCTAATGGTTAAAGTAGGAAGAGGGTTTGGGTAGCCTAATGGTTAAAGTAGGAAGAGGGTTTGGGTAGCCTAATGGTTAAAGTAGGAAGAGGGTTTGGGTAGCCTAATGGTTAAAGTAGTGGAGGGTTTGGGTAGCCTAATGGTTACAGTAGGAAGAGAGTGAGTTTAGTTTTACGCCGCACTCAGCAATATTCCAGCTATATAGGAAGAGAACATAACGTGAATGCACCAATATGTGATATAACGTTCCACATAGGTGCATTGTGGTATTTTTCTCTTTTGAAATTTGCATCATTTCCCTAGTGTTCAAAGACCGCCTCCGTGGTGTAGTGGTTAGAGCGTCCGCCCGCAGAGCGAAAGGTCGCGGGTTCGATCCCCGACCGCGTCATACCAAAAGACATTAAAATATGGTACTTGTTGGTCCCTGCCTGGCGCTCGGCATTAATGGGTACAACAAGGACTGGTCGGCTCGGAGTCAGTATAATGTGTCTGAGTGGGGTATTCATGCTTCACTGCGGCATGGTATCTCAGTGGGCTAGCACTATAAAACCAGCTTAAGTCTGGGCTAGTACAAGCAGCCGCCATATGAGCGAAATATTGTCAAGCACGACGTTAAACCTAATTTCACCTCACCCCTATTGTTCAAATAAACATCGTTCGAATCCCAACATGGGAACAATGTGTGAAGCCCATTTCTGTCGTAATATGCTGGAATATTGCTAAACGCGGCGTAACACTAAACTCACTCACTCACTAAAAATAGTCAGAAATAATGGCGTGGAATAATTATATCACGGACAAAACAACATGTGATACATTGCTGGTACGATTTCAATGAAATAGAATGGATAGTAAATCCCAGGCAATCTTGGGTCGACCACAATAAACAGTTCATGTCACAGTTAAGCGAATAGTGTGGCTGTTTTGCGGTTCATAGTTTAGTTTGAGGCCGTCAGGATGATGGGGCAAAAAATCGATTAACATGGACCCATGAGGTAAGGGAACCATTAGGCAATCTATAATCTTGAGCCAACTAAACACTCGCAAAAACAACTGGTAAATCAGTGATTTTTGACTTGGCGGATTGTGTGTCATCGTTGCTCAGAGCTTTGGGAATCGATTAAAAAACATTGGTACTCTCTCACAAATGATACCCTAGAACATTATACCAAAGTATGCCCCGACGAATAAAAGCTGTTATCAAGTCCAGGGGTGGAAATACTCCTTATTAACATGGTGATAGAATTCTGTAAACTGTACATCGCTGATGTTTATTATAACTGCCAAAATATGTACCTGCTTGCCAGTAATAAAACCTGGTTAACGAATGTAACAGACTTTTGTTATGCAGCTGTATGGCCATGGCTCAAATGACCATTGTACGAGCCTTTGATTGATTTCCAGAGATACAATGTTTCAGAAAACCATCGGCAGTTGTGTTTATGCGAATGCTGTTATGAATGTTCATAAGTTTTCATTCAACGTATTTTTTGTAAAATGTAATAATGTAGAAGTATTCTCAGGGTAGCGATTAAGCGCTAGTACGGTTGGTTTATATTTCGGATATAACGACGGAGAAAACATTCATTTTAACGTGATGCAGTCAATGAGCTGTCTTTGTCGTTGGTGTGTTTGACCATATGTTTATAATTGTATTTAGAGACATTAAAAGAAGGCACATTGCCAAAGAGGTACCAGAATCTGTCACATTAGAAAGAAGGGAAGGAGAAAAGGTCATAATCAGGATCAAAATCACGATTAAAACCAAAGGTGATAGAATCTCTGGATTCTTAAACGAGGACGTGCGACCATCAGCTCTTGGTCACTCACGTATGTTTTCTTGGGTCCCACTGCAATTCCGAGGCATGATGGGAACGGATCCCTCCATCTAAGGTGAAGGTCGTAGGGACAGAGAAGATGGAAGATGGGGTGGTCATAGAGGTTGCAAGAGGAGGGGGAGGTGAGGCACAAGTAGATAGAACCTTGGATCGACAAAGATCGTGTGGGATTAGAAGATGTAGGTCACCTTCGAGGTGAAAGTCATAATGAGGAACAGTGCCATCACAGACGTTTCTAACTTCGGAATGAAGGCTATGTTCCAATAGTAGCCTACATACAGTGAGTAAGTGAGTGAGTGAGTATGGTTTGGCGCCGCTTTTAGCAATATTCCAGCAATAATACGGCAGGGGGACACCAGAAATGGGCTTCACACATTGTACCGATGTAGGGACTCGAACCAGGGTCGTCGGTGTGGCCTTTAACCACAAGGCTACCCCCACCACCCCTTAGCCTACATAAAACATTATAGAACTGCATAGTCACGCTTTATTGTCTCAGTGTTCCCTGTTGCTCACAATCAGGAATCATATGAAAAACAAACGGATCTACTCACAAACGAAAATTACATTTAAAGAGAATTTATTCTCACACTGTCCACATTATAGACCTGTTGTACAATTTGTGCATATGGTTTATCAGAGCTTTCAACAATATCCGATATCAGTTAGCAACACAATTATGTAGGCCACGATGTGATCGTGGGTTGAACTCTAAGATTAACTGATCATGTTTCATGGGTGGCTCGTGTCACATAGCATAGAACGGTGTATTATTAACATATAATCATGTCTAACGGATCTTACTTCCACCAAAGTCAAAGTGTAATAGCCAAAGTGCTGACGAGACGAAGCACCGAAAACTGAAATGAATGAAGCGATAGAATGATTATCTTACAAACAAATAACATTTTCAAATGAAATCGAAACTGAACGAAATACAGTCATTAAAATTGATACATGATGTATACAACTTGTGACTACAAAACAAATCATGAGTTTGTGTTAGGGTAAACCAAGGTGTCAATGCTAAGGGCAACTGTACCAGTTATATCAGTTTAGCGTATGAGCCATTTGGTTGTCATAAGCTATGTTTGAAATATGTGTTAGGCCAAAATATTTCCTTTTGAAACTTTACTTTGAAAAGAAAATTGAACCGTTTTCGTAATTGTTCACATGCCTTTGATACATTACAAGTAACACTTGTGATTGTTTAAAGAAAATATTAACAGCCAGTATATGCTTGTTATTAGATGGAAGATGAAGCCTTCTTTATGAAACACTATCAACTACGGGCAGCTACAGTTACGTGTCTGCATGTGTATGACGCCTGATTTCAGTAAGACAGAGCGAGGCATATCATTTGAGCTTCTTTAATCATGGCGGACGACCTACATCGTGACGTAGTTCACATGTGTCACCAAAGGGGCTAACTCGCATAACCTTGACTACATACCACGTAACAGCTACTATTTGTTTCATATTGTATACTTTTTATTTATTTGAAGACACATCAAGACTAAAAATTGTAGTTAAAGTAGCAATATCACGTCGTGATCACCAGTCTTCATACATTTTACCATGTCGAGACTAAATATGAGTATCTGTTAGAGTTCTAATTTAAAGATATAATTAGAATTTAAAACTATTCATTACTAATGATTTGTACTCAAGTATACACCAAAATGACACTGATAGAATGTATACATACATGAATTAAAAACTCCTATGTACCTATAAAGTCGGACAGGGACCGAACACCCTTCTTCAGCATCTCAGTTACCTCCCCTTCTGTATATCTGTCTAAACTTAAAGTATCGTCCAAAACACCACATGACAATTTTCCCGAATTTATATATATGTTCACCAGCAAGGATATGTTGTATCATATTGCCATCGGTTGAGGACAAGGATACTGAAACGGCTGTGTCATTCATTCTCAGATGCATATTACGTTTCCTCATAAAATATAATTGAAATTGGACTGAAGATAAACCTAGTTAAACCCATATGACTGAAAATGGGCAAAACGACAAAAATCATAGTATGTAAAGTTTTTATTATGAACGTAAACAAAACG